CGTGCTTCCTTCTGGCCCACGGACTCGGCTGAGCCAGCCCTGCCCAGGCGTCTTGGAGACGCCACCTGCGCCAGCATGGAGGAGACAGTGGTGCAGCCCTCGGTGTTCGTGGTGGAAGGGCAGACCAGTATCCCCTTCAGGAGGCTGGGGACCAGCAAAAGGAAACAGCCCTGCGGTGCTGCCCCGCTGAGCCTGGGCCTCCTCCTGCTGCTGCTGCTGCTGGCCGCGGTGGCCATCCAGGGCTGGTTTCTGCTGCGGCTGCACCAGCGTGTGGGAGAGATGAGCAGCCCCCCGCTGCCGCCGCCGCCACCGGTGAGTGGGCCTGGGGAGCTGGCCGGTGTGGGTCCTTCTGCATGTGTCTGTGTGCACCCAGGGAGGACGCTGAGGACTGAAAGCAGTCCAGGGCCTCAGGTTCCTCATCTGTAAACTGGGCATGAATACAAGAGAGCCGGTGGCGCGGAACACCACGAGATGTTGCTGGGGAGGGGACCAGCCTGCGAGGCCCAGGCGCGTTTCTCCTTTTTACTAAATGTAACGGACACGACAGGCCATCTGTGTTTGCGGTATAGACGCACTGATTCCAGACATGCCTGTTGCCACTGGCTGACAGCTCTGTGGGATGATAATCCTTTATTCTCGTGGTGGGAGCAACTACAGTCTATCTCTTGGCAAGTTTCACGTTCATGAGTCCGCGGCACCGTCCGGAATCACCAGGCCCGGTGTCCTCCTGCCTGTGGCTCCTTGTCACGAGCCGCGGCCTGATCGCTCTTGGGGTCGTCACGCACGCACTCGGGCTGTGAGGTTTCTAGTCGGCTGGCATCTGTGCCCGGCAGGCGGTCTCTGTGCCCCGTGGCCGTGTCCTTCCTCCTTGGCCTCATGCTGTGTCCACGTGCTCCCACACGCCCGCCTCCTCCTGTGTCCAAGCCCTGGTGTCGTGTCTGGTCTCTGGCCCAACACGGAGCCACGCATCACACATGCACATGTCTGAGCTCACACACGCCTGGGCAGGGGTCACATCAGCGGCTGGATCTCTGCGGTGTCAGGGGCCCATCTCCGCCTCCGGCCTCTGTGTCCACGTGTCCTGGTATCCTTAATGGTGCTTATGTCATAAGCCCTCATGCAGCATGTGTGTCAGGCCCTAGAAAGCGCTTTACACGTAGGGGTACACTAAATCCTCTTGAGAAGATCATTCAAAGAGGGGGAAACTGAGGCACTGGTGGGCGGGGCTGGTGGGAGGCTGGGCTCTGTGTCTCTGGGTGGTGACTGTCTAGGCTGATAGATGGGTCACGCGTAAAGCACAATTCCTCACTGAGGGCTCCTCTGTATTTTAGGATGGAAATTTGGGGTCCCAGAAGCAGCTGCCACACGGTGAGTGGGAGCCCTGATGCCCAGGGGAGGGGCGGGCCGGCTCCCACGCTGCCCTCACCACCTCGGCCATTGCCCAATGCGATTTGCACAACTGACCCAAGCCCTCCCCCAGCCTGAGAAGCAGAAGTTTGGGTCACTCCGGAAAGGGTGGGGATGATGCCAGGGTGGACCTGATGACCCCTGGGGAGGCTGACCCTTACCTCCCCACTGCCTTCACTCTCACATCGGATCCTCTCTCCCCAGACCAGAATTATCTTCAGAACAAGCCAGCGGCACATTTGACAGGTGAGGGGGACCTAGGTCTTGGCATGGGGAGGGGTCGGAGTGTCTTGGGGAGACCAGATGGACACCCAGTATCTATTTAGATTTGCCCTGAGTGAGACACAATTAGAAATATGTGGGTCTGGGCCCTCCCTGGTGGCGTAACAGATTAAAACACGGAACTATGAAGCTCCCTGCAGTCACTGCAGCATGAATTCGATCCCAGCCAGGGGGTGACCCACGTGGCACAGGAGACCTTTCCTGTCCTGCCCACTGCTCCCCTCAGCAGTGTGTTTTAGTCAGTCTGCCTGATCTGCTCCCTACTCTGTCTCTGGTGAATCCTCTCACCCCCCTGCACCTCTGGCCTGTACCACAGTTCTGTATGCATAAATAAATACATCTTAAAAAAAAAGAAGAAGAAGAAATATGGGTCTCTGGCCCCCATATTTCTAATTGTATTTATTATATATCTACTTGTATTTATTGATTAAGCCTTATGCAATCCTCACTCTCTCATACACTGCAGTACACTCTGTTAACTCACTAAACTCTGAGCATGTACTATTCACACCTCCATTGGAGGTTAGACACAGAGGTCAGGTGGCTGCCGTCTTGGGTGTCTTGCCACGACTCCTTGCCCCTGTCACAGACAGGTTTTGATGATCTGGGCAAGTCACCTATCTCCCTACTGCAGCGTGAGGGCAGTGTGACCTAATATAGACAACGCATGAAGGCCCTCAAGTAGCCTCGTGCAGAGGCCGGGACCAGAGAGGGACGGCCACTGCCTTGAGCCGCACAGCCAGCGTGAGACATGGACTGACCAGCCCTGTTGGTCTTCCTCCCTAGGGGCCAACTTAAGCGTGACGGGCCTGGTGCTGTGGGAGACGCAGCGGGGAGTGGCCTTCTTGAAGAACTTCAGCTACCACGACGGCGCCCTGGTGGTGAAGCATGTGGGCTACTATTACCTCTACTCCAAGGTGCAGGTGGCCGACAAGGACTGCCCAAAGGAGGCACTGCCCATCACCCACACCCTCTTCTTGCGCACACCCCGCTACCCCGAGGAGCTGGAGCTGCTGAGCAACCTGCAGTCACACTGTCGGCGGACAGCTGGCTCCCACACCTGGTGGCACAGCAGCTCCCTGGGCGGAGTGGTGCATCTGGAGGCGGGAGACAAGGTGCTGGTCCGCATCAAGGCCAGACAGCTGGTCGGGCTGCGAGACAGCGCCCGGTCCTACTTCGGGGCTTTCATGCTGTGAAGGAGGACGACCGTGGATGGATGAGGGGTCTGACGAGCAGAACCTTGCAGGGGGCAACCCCGGATTGTAGCCCAGGGAGCCTCAAACTCAAACGCAGAGTTTAGTGGGCATCAACTAAAAGGTTTCAAACCCAGCGCAGACAGCACTCAAGAAAAGCCTGGAGGCTTGGGGGGATTCAGGCTTCCTAAGCAGGGGAATACTGCTAATACTGGTCTGCCTGGCATTGGGAAGAAGAGGTGAGAGCTGGGTATTTCTACCTGACTCAGAGCAAAGGGGGGTGCGGGGGTCTGTGATTTGGCTTGGCTGACAAAGGGGTCATTAGCGCCCCTCCCACCCATCACTCTCACTGTAACAGGGTGGACCCCAGGAAAAGAGGAGGTTCCAGGTTCCCTGCCCCACCCAGAGGGAGGTGGAGCTGAGCAGCGAGGAGAAGGCTCTGGAAAGGAGGCTGAGGAGGAAGGAAGCAGGATGGGGCCAGGAGGAGCCCTGAGGGACGCAGGGAGCAGACACGTGAGGAAGCGGCTCTTGCTTCTGGCCCTGGACTGGGGGACGCAGACGTGGGTGAGAGACCCGTGGGGAGGTGACTGTGGCAGCGTCTACCTTGATTTTGATTTTGCTCTCTTCCTCCCATATCTGAACCTTTTCTGTGGGTCCCTGCGGGAAGGTGCTTTAGGCTTGTGACGGGATTTTAGGCCTTGCTTGGGGCCAACCCCTTTGGGGGGAGTTTTACCCACAAGGTGATGGGTAAATTTGAGTGTTGGATTAAGGAACTATATTCTTTTCTTTTCTGTATTGCACACTAATTGTATTAAAGTTCCTTTCCATGAAACATCTTATATGTTTTGTCTTGATGCCTGACTGTGGGTCCTCACCCACAATTGCAGGTACACACACACAAAAGGTCAATAATGGGTTTATTTACAAGGGAAATGAATAACTCGCGGAAAGAGAGAGAAGTGAATTAATGCATCCTACCAGTTCCACTGACTTGGAACCCCAATAGCACGCTGATAATGGGTAAGACTCAAGAGACAAGCTGCCAGCCATGAGGCCAAGAGCACCTCAAAACCCACATGTCCGGTTTTACCCCAACCTGGCTGCTTAGCTCCCCCCTCAGCTCCCAGTGCGCTTCTCTTCAGTATTGATGGGATTTGTAGTTCCAGGATCGGGCTGGGGGTGGAGTCCATGAAACCTGTACATCCTTCCCCCTTACAAACCTATTTATAGCTGGCATGTTTGGGGGTTTTGGGGTGCCCCCCTCCCTGACCTGAAACATCACCAGTGTGGGCTGCTGCAGGGGTGAATGGAGATACTTGTCATCAGAATTCACCCATGTGTAAAGCCCAGGCCTCACACTGGCCTGGGCTCACCCTCAGCCTGGCCACAGAAAGTTATACTCAAACCCAGCCACAGTCGTGCTGAGAAAGGGGCGCCTCACTCCCGGGAAGGGAGCCGTCTTGTCTTGTTCGCCTGTTGCCGTGGTCCAGGGTCCATGATGGCAGGTTTCTGGCCAGCAAGACAGCACAAGCTGCGTCCCTGCATTGCGAAGCACTCTCACCCCTCACCAGGACACCTCCACGTGTGGCACACAGTAAGTGCTCAGGAAACAGTGGGTAAGGGGGAGAAAGATAGGGCAAAGGAAGGAGAGAAGGGGGGAAGAAAAGGAACACACAGTCACCCCAGGCGCCTGTAACAGCACCGCAGTCACAGACGCACATCAGACGCTCACACATCACAGTCACAGACAACTCGCAAACACTCGCACAAACGCGGCAGAACAATCACACCCAAGTCACCATCACAGCCAGTCACCTCACGGGTTGTGCAGTCCCTCCCCGTGGCCGCGTCCCCTCAGACGTCCACAGGCCGCCTCTCAGGCGGCAGCATCTCGCACACCCCCATCACACGCTCCGGCCTCTCCGTGCCAAAGTTTCCTTCTCTGTGAAAGGCAAGGTGATGTACACCTGCTGGTGGTGGTGAGCAGTTCATCACTCAGTCACGGAAACTGCTGGAAAGGTGGCTGGTGGCTGGTAAGAGCTCAACTAACGCACAAGTCGCAAGCTGTCAAGGTGGTGCTTGCCCTGCGGCATCCGGGCATCACCTGTCTGCACCACCCCATGGGCAGGAGCTCTTTGCCACTGTGTTCCAGCTGGGTGCAGGCATGGACCCTCCACTCCACCCTACTAGGCTCCTGACTTCATGTCTCTGTCCTTCCTGGGTGGGGAGGTAGAAACACAAAGTGAAATGTCCTGGGGACCCCACCCTGGTCCGGGGGCAAGAGAGCAGAGCTGTGTTCCACAGGCTGCATCTCAGTGCGGGAACCTGCAGCCCAAAGGGGTAAATCAGCCTTTTCAGATGAAAGAAAAGAAAATTAAGGCAACAATGGGCATCTGGTGGGTCTGTGAGGCCTTCTTCAGAGAAGAGGTTAAACGGAGCAGCGCCTTCCTCCAGCACCAGCCTGTCTTTAGATCAGGACAGTTTCGAACCTGAAGCTTTTCTTATCAAGAAGAACGACACCCCGAGTCAGTGATGAGCTGTTTCTAGCTGTCAACACATAAAAGAGGTTCAAACTTTTGCGGACAGGGGACTCTCACAGGAAACTCTGCTGGGCTGCCCGGAGGCTGGGCTCGGTGCTGAGGTTATCAAGGGAACCATTGGTCAACTCTCAAGACTACGGGTCAGTTATCAGGGTGAGATATCCCCAAATGCCTGACCCCAATCCCCACTGGAATTTCCTCTACTCTCCTCACACTCTGTTACACTCTTTCTGTTTCCGTGATGAGATGATGAGAGGCAAAGGTGTGGGGACAGTGCATTTATAAAAGCCACCAGCAGCCACCAGTTTCCGCCTGGGGTTAGAACTCTCTCGCTAAGTTTAGCCTCCAAAGATCATTCCTGGGCTCTGGGGAGGAGGAGGAGGAAACAGGAGGAGGAGGTGAGTAGGAGGAGGGGGAGGAGAGGAGGAGGTGAGCAGGAAGAGGGGGAGGAGAGGTGAGCAGGAGGAGGGGGAGGAGGAGGGTAATGGAAAGGGGAGGAGGGGGGAGGGAGAGAGGGAAGAGAGAGGTGGGAGAGCCCCCCCTCCCTGGGGCTGAGCCTGGGGCCATTGGGACCTAGCCCCTAGCTCGAGCTCAGATGAAAAAAAATGGGAGCAGGAAGCCCTTGAGCCAGACCACTGACCTACTTTGCAACTTCTGAGAAGTTTATCTATTTGATTTCTGCTTTTATCTCCAGGGCTCCAACATCTTTTCAGATTTTAACCTCCATGCCCCTCCCCACCCCAGCCCCAAGCAGGAAACCCTCTTTTGCCAAGACTAAAGAGACTAAAGGGGGTAAAAGTAATGATAATCAAGTCATTTATTAACTTTCTAGTAGCATTCTTCCTCTGCTGTTAAGTACCTGCATTGAAAGTGAGACTCACCTCAGAGAAAGGGAATGGTTCTTACCCTGGAGCCAGACTGCCTGTGATCAAATCCCTGGTCTGTCACTTTCCAGCAAGTAGCCTTAGGAATCCATCCCTGGCTTCTAGGGGCCTCAAGCATTTAAGGATACTTCCAGGGCTTGGCCCCACAATAAACTCCCAGATACTTTGTAAATATTCTTTTAGTAAGCATAGTTACTAAATATTCTTTTAGTAAGCATAGTTTTAACCCAGGTTTTAGAGATGAGTTTGGAGTGTGGGGTCCTGGGGTTCACTCTGTATAGACACAAGCCTGCGGGAAGAGCTGCCCTGAAAGGGACTGGGTTGCTGAGAGAGCCCAGCATGGTCGCAGGGAGAGGCCTTAGGAGAGCAGCCTCCACTGAGGGAGGTCAGGACAGAGAACCCCAGGCAGGTGCAGGTCAGGGGCAGGCAGGAGGCTGCTGCCCTGCGGAGGGGAGGGGGGGAGAAGCACCCCGTGGCCACGGGCAGCACAGCTGCCACGGCCATGGCACAGACTGCCTGAGGTAGTCCTCTCTTTGGGAGGGGCTCTCTCCTTTGTGGGGGGCCTGTTTGCTGCTGATTTCGAATAACTGAGGAGTCTGGACCAGAGATTCTGCAGTGGGCCCAAACCCCAGCAGACCCCTCCAGCAGGAGAGACCCCTCACATACACCAAAAATTCCCGTAGTAGCCTAACCCCTTAAAGATCCACGCGCCCTTTTTGAGTCACGGCTCCTGGCCTCCGGACTTTCAGTGGGTCTGCTTCAGCCTGACGCTCTTGGTCTCTTCTCTTTCCTAAGCCCGACAGCATCTGGTACCTGCATGGGCCTTATGCCTTGTGATAAGGAGCTGGAGCCCAAGGATCTGGGTTGCTAGGCTAGGTTCATGGTCCTGTTAACGCCTCTCCCCCCACTCCTGTGTGAATCGGGTTTTAATCTTGTGATGCCCCCTTTAGGTTTTCTATTCTTTTCTCCATCACAGCTCAGGTTCTTTTCAGAATTTCAGATTCTTTTCCGTTACTTCCTCAAAGGTGACCTTACATCCATAGGCCACATCTAGTCACTGGATGTGTTTTTTAAACAGATACCAATGGCCATATCTAAACATCAAAACTCTTTGTACGTGGACAAATCCAGACTTCTGGATTTTCTAGGAAGCTGTGACGAGTTGGGTAGTAGCTGCCCTTTTGTGCATGAGTATGAAATTACCAGCTTGCCGCAGTCTCCACCACTCCCATTTGTCTCCCATACTGAGGCTGAGTGCCAGGAGTCTTTCATCATCATGAGTATACAGTTGTTTTTCTTCTTTATTAAAAAATATTTTTTAAATTTATGTATATAAGAACTGGGATACAGGCCAGAGATGCAGGGAGAGGAGTGGTGAGAGGCTTCACCAGAGACAGAGTGAGCCACAGAGCAGGCACATCTACTAAAAAACACTGCTGAGGGGGCAGCCGGCGAGACAGGAGAGGTCTGCTGTACCATGGGGGTCAGCTCCCTGGCCAGGGATCAATATCATGCCACAGTGACTATATATAGTTTCATAGCGCTGAGACTTAACCTCTGTACCACCAAGGAGGCTGAA